GACCCTCTAACGTTGATCCACACCACCCGCGTCTAGACACAGGAACTCCTTCCAGTAAGGCCGCCGATTGATCACCACAATAAGGCTTGCTATGCGCTCAGTGTGTGATGCAGGGGGCTAGGTAAAAGTGTTTAGAAGAGTGAAGTGTTTTAAGAGAAAATCTCACAAAGGGGCGCATAGATGAGTAGAGAAAGGCTTGACTTTTCACAAAAACCTAAGGAGGAACTAACTACACATTAAGCACACAAGAGGAGCCTCTTAAGTTTAAAAAACAAATCAGATTTTTCTCCCAAAAATCTGATCAAAGTGGCGCCCTATGGGGAGAGAATAAGTGGAGTTGTTGCATTTCAAAAATTGCCAACAACATCCCAGAATATTCTCATGAGACTAAGTTCAAAATCTAGTCAGAAATCTGATCATGAATCATCATATAATAAGCTATATGGTGCGCCCCATATAGCCTAAAAGGTGACCAGATACATTTGAGTTAGTTGTATTTCAAACTTAAATCAACTTACTCAAATATTCTCCCAACAGACCGTATCTTCTGGAGCTGATTTTGATGATCAAATCTAGCCAAAATCAGCGCCCCATTATCCTTGGATTATGTCCAAAAGATCTCCTCCTGATATGTTCCAACAAGATCTCATCTTATCCTTTTGTTATGAAACAACTTTTCATAGCCAATTCAAATTCGAATTTCAAATTCGAATTTCAAACATTTGAATTCAAACTTTCAAACACTTAAATTTTAAATTCAAATTCTAAATTCAAAATTCAAATTCAAATTCAAAATTCAAAATTCAAATTTCAAATTTCAAATTTCAAATTCAAAATTCGAATTTCAAAATTCGAATTTCAAAATTCAAAATTCAAAATTCAAAATTGAAAATTGAAAATTGAAAATTCAAATTCAAAATTTAAACATTTGATAATTAATTTAACTAATTAAATTAATTAGTAATGTCTTGGACTATCCAAGCCCATTACTTTGATCCATGCGCCCTCCACCCTATCTGTGGAGTTCCAAACTACTTTTTGGGCTAATAACAATTGTTAGGCCCAATACCTTTAATGCTAGAGCATTCTAGACAATTAGGTGTTAGTGTGTGACCCATTAGGTCCAACATAGCCACTGACATAAATGTGCTTGGGCCCAATAAGCCCACAACTCATCTAATGACAACACAGAGCACTAACAATGCTTTGTTGCCCCATAACTAGTTAGATTAATGACTTGATCATCCTATTACACATATTTGGTTGCCGTATATATTTCCTTTCGTCTCGGTTACCTTCCCATAAAACCTAGGGTAAGGAAGCGTATCAACCCCTGCGGTTTAGGGTAAGATTTATTCGAAATAGGGAATCTTCAATTTACAGACTCTAAAGGCAGATCATTTCATGATCTCTTTTACTATGCATAGATTCTCGAGTCCCTGTAAATGTCATCCCGATTTCTCCGGTTTACAGATAACCTAATCTCTCACAGAGATTTGACGAATTCCTTATCACCCTAGCCCTGTGTTCTTTCAGGACAAGCCCAACAGTATACCTATGAGTCTCCATGTTTCAGGCATACGAGGTGCACAATCAAAGCATGCCTTCTAGAACACAGTCTAGGTAATAACTTCTGGTCTTAGGAAAGACATACCCAAATATAAAGAGACTACTCTAATGATACTCTCTGTGAGAGTTCCTCATAGAGTCTCTTTGTGGGTCTGTTCAGTGCGTGCTATACCCTTATAGGTCCACCCACGACTTTAGCTAAGACATCTCCATATCTGTAGCTCATGAGGTCTTTACCTTGCATCCAAATACAAGTAGATAAGTCGTGCTAGTCTTACCCGAGATCACTGATCCCCATTCTCAGTGTCTCTAGACTAGGAACATAAAATTAGGAATAAACATGCAGTATCCTTGAATCCTCATGATCGTGATCTCATCACAGATACTCAAGAGATACCTATTTTATTCCAAGGGGTTTATCCAGTTACTCATATAAATATTAATAGTAATATTGAGACAAAATATGAAACATGATAAATAATGCTTTTATTTGCGACAATATAAAAGGTCTACATATGTCCTAATCTAATCAAAAGATTGTCTCTAGGACATCCATATACTAACACTATTCTCTACACCTAGATGAATTAATCTCTCATGCTAAAGGATAAAGATTTTTAGATAAACTAACTTCAGATTTGTAACAATATTAGTTTATATTGAAATTATACATGTATTATAATCTAGAAGAAAGAATTTGCATTTTTTCAATACAATTTTATGGAAAGGTTCGAGAAACGTAAAGCGAAGTACTCAATATCACTCATTCATGCTTTCAATGAGATAACCATTACGATATATGTCTTTAGAGCTTAGTCTATTTCTCATTGATCCACCAGAGTATCGCGAATCAATTACTACTAATTTTGTTACTTTTTTTTTTTTTTATAACAATTTTGTTACTTTAGATAACATAACACAAGCTATTTTGGAGCTTTCAATCAAGATTGTAGTGCCAAAAATAATACTAATCTTGTCTCAAGGCCATTGGTTATAATCATAATCTTTTTCATGTATAAAATTATAATTTGATTCACTACACCATTAGAGTCTCGTGCTGATAACGTGCTATGAAATAATGAGAAAAAATATAGAGAAAGAGATGAAGACAATTGAATATGGATTCTCAAAATCTAGTTCTTCGGTAACTAGCTATAATCTTTTGTTCTTCTTTTAGTTTTCCTAAGAACATCTGTTTATATTTACAAAAAAAAAGAAAAAAAAAAGAACATCTGTTTATGTAAGAATAAAAGAATAAAAGGTTACATAATGTGTAGATTGTAACTATAATGTGTATGTTACACCATTATTTAGAAATACAAAATGTTAGTAACCACAAAGGCATATAATGCTACTTAATAACACCTAATACATGTAGTCATCCACCATGTAAAACATGTGTTTTACAACAACCATTCATTTATCGTTTATTAAATTTTTAATCACTAAAAATTAATAGTATTAAAATCAACCTAAATAAATAATTAAATTTTATTTTTAACTAATAAATTAATAAGAAAAAATTACAAAACAATGATAAAATATTAATCAATAACTAATTTTTAACCACATATCACTAATAGCTAATTATTAATTTTTAATCAAAATAATTAGAAAAGATAGAATATTAACCTTTATGAGGAGAATGAGAGCAGTTGGAGTGAGATGAAAGAATTTGAGAGTAAAAACAAGAGAATTTCAGCACTAAATGTTAGAGTAAAATGAGTTGGGTTGGGTTGGATTGATGGATATCTAGTGGTAAAAAAATAAAAGAATTTGAGAATGAAAATAAGAGAATTTGGGTAATAAATATAAGAGTAAAATGAAATGGGTTGGGCTCGATTGATGGATATTTAGACATAAATAGGTGCACATGTGACACAATTATCTGAGCGCTACATGGGGCCTCGAAATGGTAGTTAAAATCTTGATTTAAATCTTAGATTTTACGATTTTTTTCAATCAAAACAATTGTACCAAAATTCCAAACGCTTTTACGATTTTACGATTTTTTACGATTTTTCTTACGTTAGGATTTTACGTTTTACAATTTTTTATCCTCCTTCCGATTTTAGGTAAAATCCCGATTTTAACTACCTTGCAACACTCAAATTTTTATTAAAAAAAAGAAAATTAAAATAGTGCTAAGGTGCTTGTAGTTAGGGGTGTAAATAGGTCAGGGCCTAATATGGATTTACTGCTGTTATGGATATGAATATCACATCCCAACTACCCAATTAAGAATCTACTAAGAGATAGAGTCATAAACATCTCAACAACTCTAAACAGCCAAAGGGCACAAGATGAGGATCACATCCCAACAGAAAGAGAGTTGAATCCTACTGCAATTGGGGGAGCTCAAAAGGCCCAAGCCTAGGAAGGTAATTCTTATAAATAAGAGCTTAAGGACCCCAGGTAAACATCTTGAACCTATTTACGAATACTGCTCACATTGTGCACACACCCACCCCATTGGCTATATGCCTATTGCTTGTGCGCAGTGATTGGGACATCGGCTATAAGCCTATTATACATCTGATATACACTATCTCTGAGCGCATACCATACGGTATAGCAATACGGTCTATCTAGGACCTAACAACTGCCTAACCTACATTAGGTCAGATTCAGCCTATTATATATAGTCAAATAAAACAGGTCCATACTTTTAAAAAAGCATATCTAGAAAGCATGCCACAAGCTTTCTTTTACATGTCGAGTCTATAGGTTTATAGACCGATCTATATCATATTATTTATTTTAAATAAAATTATTATCTCAATGATTTTGAATAATAAATTAATATTATTTTAATTATTTTTTAAATACTGAATGTCTAATAGGCTTAAACAAGCTAACAGATCTAAGCTTTATTTTTAGTATAGGTCAAACTAGAATTATGATTCGAGCCTACACAAAGCTAACAGGTTAAACCTAAATTATTTTGTACAAATCTAACCTATTTAAGCCACAGCTCAACCCAACCTATTTATATTTTGCAGCATTCAATTATTATTATTTTAATAAAAAAACTGGCATTCACCAACCAAATGAAAAAAAAATTGCGGGTAAACCCGTATCGGTAAATAAGTAAATAACCCTCCTAAAAAGAACATGTTCCTTAAACGGCCGCAAAACTTCTGTACCTTTCTACCGTTTCTTTCTTGGCTACCTCTCAAACTTATTCGGAAATAGATCCTATCTGGTGTATAATTTAACATGATTATACGATGTGAGAGTATTTTAATTATTAATAATTAAATTAATAGTGATGATTGTATAATTTCTTATTCTTATATTTTTTTTCTCTCCTCTTTTATCATCGTTAACACACTTATGTATAATTACGATTGCTTCATATAATATTTATTGTCATGTTAATTAGCTAACATATCAGAGGATACACTCCGACTTATTCCCACTCCAATATTTTCGTCTGCATTCTGCAACAACAACACGTGTTCTGCTCCAACTTTTTACAATACATCAAACTCGAAAGATTCTTCTTTCGAACTTGTCCACTTCTCTTTCTAACCACATAGCAGAAAACCCTTTGTGAAACCAGAGCACACTTCTTCATAGGTCTATAGTTTCAGGTTCAAATTCTCATGCCATTCTCTCTTCACATAGCCACCATTCATCCCCACCCCATATCATGGAACCTTCTAGGCACACACCCCACAACCAAGGAGTCAATACCCAGTAATCAAAATCTGTTTTTGAGGAGAGTCTTAGCTTGTTCTTCTCTCAGAACCTCTTTTAACTGTGATTCTAATGGAGGGGTTGAGAAAGGTTTACCACCCACTTCGCCAATTCGCCTTCCCTTTGTTGTTAGGAGCCCCACTAAGGTCTCTAGGTTCTTCTGGAATGGTGGCTGCTTGCAGTTGGTCAGTGTTGATGGTAGTGCTGCGTCTTCTGATGTGGATTTTGATGTTACGTTGTTCAGGGTATGTGGTTCTGTTGTTAAGGACTTCTTCATTCCAAGACAAGTCTCAGGGAATTACATGGATTATGTGAAGTGGAAGCTCTTGCATCGTATTTTCAGCTCAGCACTTCAAGTTCTTGCTACTCAGGTACTACGCTGATTGTTAGTTTTTTTGTTTTTGGGTAATTTGTTTAAATTAAAACTGTAGGTGGGTTTGAGTTGTTGTATGGTTGTTTTGTTTCATGTTATGTGATTGGTGGATTGGTTTGCTTTTGAAAATTGATAATCCATGATGCATGAGTTCAGGTGGAAAAATTCAAACTTGGTTTATCAGTCCATTGTCATGTGCTCTGCATATCATCAGGAGGGGTGAGAGAGGGAGAGAGAGAGAGAGAGAGAGAGAGATGGGTTTGTTTGCTTTTGAAATTTGATAATCTAAAATTCCTGTGGAAAAATTAAAACTTGATTTATCAATCTATTGCAATGTGCTGTGCTTGTTATCAGAAGGGGTCAAAGAGAGAGCGAGCTAAATAAGGTTCTTTGTATCCGTATCACATAATGCATTTGTTGCACACTTTGTATCCTCCTTTAAGCTATGATGTAAGTTCTTCTAATCTCACTACAACCGTTTGTCTTGCATAATAACTTACTATTTTAAAATGCATTGATCTCAGGCAATGTTTACGGCCATTGGAGTTGGATACTCCCATTCCCTTCCATCAGCTGCTGCCCTTAATTGGGTCTTGAAAGATGGTCTCGGACGACTGAGCAGATGTATATACACTGCTAGCTTAGCATCTGCTTTTGATACAAATTTAAAGGTAGTTTAACTTCCATTTTCAAGGAATCTATATTCCTCTGTCTGTTGTTCTGCAGTTACCAACACTGTATTTTGGCATTTGATAAAAAATTACCTGAACTCCCAAAGTACAGTAATGTGAAGTACATGATGGTAATTGAACTGCAGATTGATATGCACTAATAATATATGAAGAAATCTGATAAATCTCTCTCTTTCTCTTGGGTATCTGCTGTACAAAGAGGGTCAGGTTCTCTACATCTGTTCTTTTTGTCGCAAGCATTGGACTTGAGTTACTTACTCCTGCATTTCCTGGGTGCTTCTTGTTGCTTGCAACTATTGCCAATATTGCTAAACAAATAAGCCTGGCATGCTACTTAGCAACTCGGGTAAGGATCAATCCTCTATGATATATTAAATTCTGTATTAAATTTCTTTCTTTTTGAAAAAATGCTTTCTTGGTTTAGAGCCATTAACTCTATGATATTATACTTCTCATGGAATTTCTGTTCTGTATGTAGTCAATTTAGATTGTTTCTTAGACGACAATAGTCTCTGAATGATAGTTGTTATATAAGAATATGTATGAGCTGTATGATAGAATAAAGAAAGCTATGTTCTAGGTATGCATCGAATTGTAGATACCCTAGTTTGTCACATGAAATGATGTAACAATGTTGGGGTGAGGGGTTAGAAAGGAAGAATAGCAAAGGTTATTAAAGCGAGAAGTGTCCATTTCTCATGATGCTGATATAATAATTCTTGATGTATTGTTCCTTGTGATACATCAGTACAGCACTTGTAATTCCTATCAATATGTTTGAAATTCAGAGATTTGGTTACTTGTGTTATGTGAGTGGATTTTTAAGTCGTTAATCTACTTTGTATCTGTATACTGCTTGCATATTCTTCATGTTTTATGTTTGAATACAGATGGCTCTTGTTTCATGGCCGTTAGATGCTAACCATCATTAGTTAAATACAAAGAAGTTATCAAATATGTGAATGATTCTGATAGGGCCCAACTTAATAAAGCCCAATACTGATGTATCACAGCCTAATGAGCATGCTGAGTCAGCTTGTTTGTTAGGAGAGTTTGTTACACATGATGAGACGTTAGATGATAAAAAGGGACGTGAAGAAGGAATGGGTACCGTGGAGGTCATGAGAATTGCTTATGCAAAGTGGGAGATCCAGGGCATCTCGAAAGCCCCTGAACCATTTACATTCTGTTAAACTTTTCTTTATTTCTTTCTGCACAATTTGAGCTATAGCAGCACTATAGCATGTAGCTCGATTTAATCTTGTTGAACCTTGTTGTATTCACTGGAATGAAGCTTTTATAGAAGCAATATTCTGGGAAATTTGTTGTTATTTGTTTAGTTCCTATCAATTGGTATCAGAGCACTCCGATCTGGGTGCTTTGAACCTAGCTATTATAAAAAAATAAAAAATATATATGGAAAACAGATTTGAAAGTTTGGAGAAGATGAGAAAAGTAGAGGAGACCCACGCAAAGATAATGAGGCTCCTTGACGAGATTTTACAGAACGTTTCTCAACTAAATAGAGGTTCGCGAAGAAGATGACCCGAGCGGCAACAGGGCGATCCAAGCTGTAGGAATGATGGAGAATTTTATAGTTCTATGGTTCGCGAGAAGAAATTGGAGTTACCAGAGTTTGAAGGAGAAGAAGCCTATGGATGGCTAACCAAGATTGTGCAGTACTTTGAAACGTATGAAATACCGGAAATAGAGAGGCTTCATCGGGTTGCGAAATTGATGAAAGGTCAAGCTAGTGCTTGGTGGTGGTGCTGGAGCGGGATATATGTGAGAGCCTCTTGGAGGGAATTTGTTACGGCGCTACTCAAATGATTTCATCCAGATTTGATGAAGGAAACGATGAACAACATGAAGGCAACACAAACAGCAACAGGGGCTGACATGCGAACAAATCCTAATTTGCATGTCACCTCAGGCGAAAATTTGAAAAGAAGCTTGAAGGTGGACGTCGTGGGAAGCTATCGAACGGAGCTGTTGCAGAAAAATCCACCCATGTTGACGGAGACGATGACGGAGACGACGATGAAGGAAACGACGATGAAGGAAACGACTCCTATAGAGGAACGAAACACAGCATGGGCTGGGGTTGAAATTTGCGTTCACAATGGTGTGAAATGGGCTGGATCAGAAGGAACAAACCAGCCCAATCGAGTGGACTCAAGTTCCACGGGCAGTAAACAGGGGGTTAGTCACGTGACCCACTTAAATCAGACAACCGGAAATGACGCATGTGTCCCGACTAATGATGTGGAGATCAACACGCGTGGAAACGCTTCAAGAAGTGTCAATTTGGGGGAAAATGCTGGCCTTACACGAAACCTAGCAAGTTCAACCAGCAATAATCAAAAGGTGGCTGAGAGTGGGGTGTCAGGAAGCGGCTATCCAGAAAGGCGAAGACTCTCTCATTGCTGCAAGGTTGCGCAGCCTCAGATTTTGGTAGTGGAAGAAGACGATGAGTGGGGCAATGCAGGGGTTGATGACGTCCCAAGCGAAGCGGAAAAAGTAGGTGAAGAGCTTATAAACAAAGTCTTGGATGTACAGTTGCCAGCGACAACACAGCCACTGGCGGTGGTTGTCAACCTTCCACCATTGCCTAAACGACCAGATGCGAATCTTCAACGGGAAGGAGGGGAGGTCTTACTGCGCCGCTGCAGTCATTGGACTCCATAATACACATGTGAGAGGATGCTAAACAAGAAAATTAGGTTAGAGGAGGTGTGGCACACTTTGGGCCAAGCTGTTGACCCGATGAATAAAGTCCAATTGAATATTAAAACACCTTTAACCCAATCCAATGATATTAGTGTTTTATATGGTTGGGCTTTTCAGCTTGATAGGGAATTGAAGACGGGAAACCATGTGGTTCTTTTATCTGCTTTTGTAGACATGGGGTCCAAGCTTCATTTGTACATGCAGGAGCAGGGGATGCAGGTAAGTATTATTTATATGGATAAAATGAGGTTGTTTGGAGAATCAGTTTGCAGTGGATACATTCATGGAGAGCTGTCAATTTATAATAGATGCATTCTTGATTCACCAGTCTATTCTGATGTAGATGCTGCCAAGATTAAAATGGGCCAAGGTGTTCACGATGGAAGTTCTTTTGTTTCTTGCATAAATTGGCTCCTACATTTTCAATTGTGGGATCCTGGAGGAGATCATCAACATGCGCTGCAAATAAGTTGGCCCTTGCATTTCAAGCAATGGGACCCTGGCATAAGATTCTTGATGGCTAAACCTCACCTTGAGAGCAAGGTGAATGTTTAGGGGGGGAGTATTGATAGGGCCCAACTTAATAAAGCCCAATACTGATGTATCACAGCCTAATGAGCATGCTGAGTCAGCTTGTTTGTTAGGAGAGTTTGTTACACATGATGAGACGTTAGATGATAAAAAGGGACGTGAAGAAGGAATGGGTACCGTGGAGGTCATGAGAATTGCTTATGCAAAGTGGGAGATCTCAGGGCATCTCGAAAGCCCCTGAACCATTTACATTCTGTTAAACTTTTCTTTATTTCTTTCTGCACAATCTGAGCTATAGCAGCACTATAGCATGTAGCTCGATTTAATCTTGTTGAACCTTGTTGTATTCACTGGAATGAAGCTTTTATAGAAGCATTAGAGATTTGGTTACTTGTGTTATGTGAGTGGATTTTTAAGTCGTTAATCTACTTTGTATCTGTATACTGCTTGCATATTCTTCTTGTTTTATGTTTGAATACAGATGGCTCTTGTTTCATGGCCGTTAGATGCTAACCATCATTAGTTAAATACAAAGAAGTTATCAAATATGTGAATGATTCCTCCAAAGTTGTTTTTCCTTAGACCTCTGGACTTCTGTTGGTAGATATCTTCTTGTCATACTGATTGCTAGTTTCATTGTTGTATGTGGCTGCATAAATTTTACCATACCAACTTATAATCCATGTTCAATAATGCATAAAGCACTTTTGACAGATGATAGTTCATGTATATAAATGATTTTGAGTAACATAGATAGCTCTTAGCTATTAGCTTTCAAATTCATTAAGTTTTTGCCATGTTCATCTCTGTTACATTCCTTATCCCTTCTATTTGCTCTTTTATGCACTGCCCGCTTTTTCTTTTTATATGGTGGTTGTATGGATTTGCCTTTTACCCAACTTTAGGTATAATAAGTTTATTAATAATGGATGTGTTTGGGAAAAAATTTCTGTCTTTGTCATCAGTATAATGATTGATATACTTCTTTTTGCCTGTGAATTTTGGTGTTTTCACTCTGTTTAAGCAGTCAGCTGTTCATCAAAGTTTTGCAATAGCAGACAACCTCGGTGAAATTTCTGCTAAGGCACAGGTGAGCATGCATGTTCTTTTCATTTGGGTTCATCTGCCACCGACCCCAACTACTTTGGAATAATGGTGATGTTGATGAGGCATTTTACATGGATTGTATTCTGAATTTTTTATATGTTTCATTATTTCAGATTCAAACAGTTTGCTTTGACATCCTTGGTCTTATGCTTGCTGCACTTGTTAATCTGTGGACTGAGAACCATAAAAGGTTGTTAATTACCTCCATTAAGGAAATGATCTTATTAATTTGATGTATAAGTTGCCTGAGCTGTGGAACTGAGAGCTGACTGTAGTATATTTTCCCTTCAGAATTTGATGACCTTATCTTTCTAAATAAAAAGGAAAAAAATTTACATGATGTTACATGGCCAGAGTGTTTACACTTATACTTTTGATAGTACATGTTACAACTGACTCTTCTTGCCATGTAGACCTGTGTAGGTCTATGATATATTGTTATAGTTTTTATTGCATAAATAAATTGGCTTGTTTTCTAACTCAAGTTATCTCCTGGCTTGCAAGACAACAAGCAGGTCTCCGTTTCTTTGTTTATCCCTTTTTTGCTGCTATGGACCTTTTTGGGATTTATCAAGGACTAAAGCATGTCCATCTGCAAACCTTGACTAAGGTATGTTTTCTGATTGCTTGAATTATGAAGTTGAGTATGGATTAAATCTTTTCCAAATTTATAATTTAAAGACAAAAATTAAGTACAATTGACCCTTACCCCTATTCTCGCAAGTGAGGGAGCATTGTGCACCGGGGTTTGCCCTAGAGATAGAAACTGAGTGAGTGAAAGTGAGAGATTGATTGATTTGATGGGTGCAAAATTCTGTTTTCTTTATTTGACATACCGCTTAAATTGTGGTGGGATGGTATCTCCACTTTCAGACAAGGACAAAAAGCAAGCTTTAGATTTGCTATTATTACTGGCACATTAAAGTGGAAAAAAATTATTATTGACTTATTGTATGTCGGTCTAGCCCTGTACTTTTGCGTATTCCTTCTCATTTGCTCACTAATAAGATAAAAATTCAGCTGCATTTTCTGTACTACTGGCACTGGGTTGAAGATTCTCTCTCTCTCTCTCTCTTTTTGGGAAATAACTTTTGGTTTGGTTTTCCTCTCCACTTGAATGAAAGAGATGAAATGAATCACTGGAGTGATGACCCTCCACTTGTCTACTTTGTTTCATAAAAACCTTCAATTTGTTTTTCCCTTTTTTAACTCTCAGGTTTGGTTTTATGGCATAGGACTTTTGTTGAGAGTTTGTAGTTTACAGTCTTGTTGGTGTGTTATTGTTTTAGGATAGGCTTGAAATTATTCTGAACACTTGGATTGAGTGTGGATATGTGCCCTCCCCTGCAGAGGTTAGCGAGGTCGAAGGAATTAACTTTCTGGGAATCAAAGGTGATCTACTACTGATTCTTCTATTCGTGTTTAATAATTTCCAACTTGTGTGCTTTAGTGATGAGCATATATTCAACTAATGAGGTTTGATTCAGGTAAAAGCTTGTGGTCAATTAGAATAGGGTGCTTAAATCCCAAGGACCAAATCCCCAAATGGTCAATAAAGACAATACAATGTATAACTGATGAGGATTATTACTTTGTATGCATTGAGATTGTCAAAGGATTGAAAAAAACTGGACAGGTGAGCATTATAACGAGTGTATCCCTGTGTACCTATTCTTCCTCATAACTTCCTTTGAAGTAGTTTTGCATTCTAACTGTTTTTAATTTGCTTGTTTCGCTTGGTGGTGACCTTCAAGCATCGGATCCTTCTTTCCATACGCGAAGGAGCCGAAGCAGTACATATAATCATAGGTTTGTTACAGGTGATAAGACTACTCTTCTTAATTGTTTTTCAACTATTATGATCAATATTTTGATAAACACACCATTAGTTGTAGCTAATGTGGTTTAACTGGAACAGAATAATCTCCTTTGGACTGAAACCTGTTTTGCTTATTCTAAAGATCTTTTGATGTCTAGGCTTGCTATATCAGAAGGGCTCTGCTTGTGAAAAGTAGTAAGTGGGAGATTAATATAGAGGAAAGCAATGCTTCAAACTCAACACTTGATGATTGGTCTCTTATTGTTGAGGATAGCAAGATGTGTGCAGAAAGGGATCTATCTAATTTGATTGAACAAATGCTAAAAATGGGTTGGGTGGTGAAGAGCATTTTATTGTCAACACAAGAACAGGCTCGATACAGTTTTGTGTGTGACTAAAGATGGTTTTCAAAATATGGTGGGATGGGATCCTTAATAAAATTTGATTGTTTGGGGGATTATCATTCATTTTAGTATTGAACTATAGGATGTGTTTCAAAAGTAATTAATAGTTTAAGATTTTTATAAAACGTAAAAAAAGTTGTCAATCAACATTATAGGACGTTGCCATATAGCAATGCCCCCTCCCTTTCCTCTTTCCCCATATGAGACTTGTTGAGTATTGTTCTTGACTTATTAAATAAATGAACTTGTTGATCTCAAAATATTGCCTTAATTAAAAAAATTAAGAAGCAATAAGTTATTAATAATTTATCTTGAAAATTTATTTAAATAAAAATTTAATGCAAAAAATAATCCCGGTTCTTAGTATTTGTCAAGTATAATATTGATTCTCTAGATAAATAAAAAGCCATAAAATTCAATACTAATTATTATTTGAACCGCAATTTTTTTATCTTGAAAGCTAATATAAAGTTAAAACTAAAAATATGCCGTAAAAAATAAAGCTAAATTGTTTGGTGTTTGATCCACAAATTGTTTGCCTAGTGAATGTTTGAGTTACCTTTGATGGAGTGACTCCAATAGACGATTTCAGCTGTGGACGTGGGGGAATTGAAACCTGCATTGAAGGGGACGTAATTGGTGTAACACCCTCGATAAAAAAAATGTTAAGTTAGGATACCAAAAATAAAATAAAAATGTTAAGTTATTATGAGGCTAATATACTAACCACAATTAATATGTACATATATATTATATGCCTTAAAGAAACATTATTTTGTATCGGTTCTACGGATAAATAATATATTTTGGACTTGGCACAAATAATAAATATTTATTGGTTCTAAAGGGGGTTATTCTAATGGAGGTAGGACCTGAGAACCCACGACCCTCTTCTTTACAAGTCCAAATTATTATATTGGTGAAAGTTTTATTCTAGTTAAAGCTCTCTTACATAATATGTGCGAGATATTGTGCATCCACTCCAAAACCAAATGCAGCAACATGTTTTTGCTTTTAAGAGCAATTATGTTTTTAAGAGTAATTATGATTAACCAATATTGGAGAAAATAGGCTAAACTGGTCTAGTCCAACCCATTAATTAACTAGGTGACCTTCCACAAAGTTCAATAATCATGGCAGATCAGATGTATAAAAAACATCTATTTGGAGAATCGAAGTAGTAGTTCTAAAGAGGAACGTATGTTTTGGTGTTGTTATTGTGGAATCACTGTGATGATGTGAATCTTATGCACTCAAGGTTGATATCTTTCATGATGCTACGTCCACATAGTTTTGATAATAATAAATAAACTTGGAAAAGTTGATTCAAGAGCCATAAGAAACAACATTAAAAAAGAATCCAAGTGTGTGTCAAAGCAATGCAAATTCAAGTGCTCAAGTGTCAAAATCAAGGATCAAGTCTCAAAGCATGAAGCTAAGTCCAAGATCACATTAGAATATATATTTAGGATTTAGAACATGTATATAAAGGTGTAGAGTAAATAACACTGCATGAGCTCAAGTCATTCTTATCATTACATAATCAACAAGTGCTTAAAAACCTTAGTTTAATAGGTCAAAATTGCATTGGAAGGTATTTTTTTTCATGCTTTCAGTACACAAGCAGTCTCACATAGCCTAAATATATATGCTCACACTCTTGAAACTCTATTTGAACTTAAAAGAATGCAGCTTGGACACAAAGTATTGAATTAGGACTTAATTGATTGGTTTAATGTGTCAAAATTGGATTGGTATGGTTTTCAAATGATTTGAATGCTTAGAAATGTTTTCCATGTCCAATTATATGTGTTCAATATGATAGAAGTCATTTTGAGTGAAAAGAAGTCAAGATTTCGTGCAAGAGTGGTTGCTGCCATGAAATATCCAAATACAGATATTGGCATGTCCGGATATGAAATTCTAGATATCCAGATATTGGAGGGTTACATATCCGGATATACCCTCGACATATATTCGGATATGACCTGTCCAGAATGCTTTCCAACGACAATAAACAGTTACTTTTTTGTTGGAAAAATATATAAATTCATTTATAATGGCTCTATTTACTAGGAAACGAAAGTATATCATTTATTGAGTCGTTATTACTCCTTCTAACACATTCTTTGTTGGGCAAGTGATTTCTTTACCTAGAATGCAGAAGAACACCTGGGGGGGGGGGTGAATAGGTGTTTCCAAAATTTTCAAAAACTTTTTCTTAGTAGATCTTTAAATCTGTAAAGTCTAAACAAAGTTGAACTAACAAGTTCAATCACCACACCAACTCAACAAGATTGATCAATTTATTTTGCAAGTTCAGTTCAGATAACAGTCACACAGCTATAACAATTTTACTAATTTTACCTTAGGTCCCTATATGCCCAAAAGGATTTCTATATGATTTATATCAATAGAAAATGTACCTGACCTTTTATTTTATAGAGCAAACGCAACAACAACCTTTCTTACATAAATCAGAGAATGATTAAATTCCAACTATCAGAAAACAATTTAAATACTACAACACTTATATAAGAACCAATAAGATGCCAGCACTTTAAGAAATATAAAAGAAAACTGTTACAACACTTTCAAACCATAAATCAGTGTTACTTTAAGTCTCTAAACAGAATATGCAGAAATTAAATCAGAGAGACAAGAGACACACGATATATCCTGGTTTACACCTACTAACCCTAAATAGGGTGCTACATCCAGACTGAATAGCCGCAGATATTTTATTTATCACAAATGTACCGTAAAAGGCCCCAAATATTTTGGTTCAAGCTGTTCCCACGAGAAAATCCAGCACAATGATTTTCTTTGAACTGATAACTTTTCGGATGATTATCAAGAAATGAAAGAAAATGAAAGAAGAAGAGAGCACTGTGTTTTTCTTCTTTGTGCAGGTTAAAGAAGATGATTCAAAACCAAAAGAGCGACGAGATGTTTAAGAGAGAGAAAACAAATTTCTTATTGGCTTTCTTGAATCAATATGAAGAGCGTTGTTTTTCAGAAGATAACAAAGAGAGCTTTTCTTTATTGGTCAATTTTTTCTTCAATCGGTTATCTATGTAAAAGTGAGGTGCAACATTTCTTTTATTACTTTTTGGTTGAAAAGACAAACTAAGCTCTTCTTCTTTTTATTAGTTATATATTCTATTCAAGAGAACCCACGTGATATGATGGAAGTTCATATGCATGCTGAACTTTCAAATTAAAAAAGCTATATATTTATTTATTTATTAAAACTAATTTTTAATGATTTAGTTTTATAACAAATTATTAATTATTATTACTTATTATGAAATTAGCATGATATATAATGATATGCATTGGAGCTCAGAGAGATACTATATGATATAATAAAGTGTGTAACAAAATTCTAAAAATCTAACCACTTGTGTCTTCAAGCTCCATCTTCAATTTGAGACTTCTTGTAAATTATTTGTCATCATCAAAATATATATTCCATAACGCTAAGGAGGTCTTTAATTGCTCATTGATTACATACTTTATTGATCATCATATACTTGAGCTCATCATTGTTGTTTAAGCCATACACCTACTAGACTTCAATTTGTAAAATCAATTTGTAAAATCTGTACTTTCAGAGTACTTATTCATTCTTAAGTACATTTTCTTCTTGAGAGATTGGTGATTGAGGGTAATGAGACCCTTGTTGGAAAGTTCGCCCATAGCTAAGAAATTATGAGGAAGTGTAAGGTGACCAAGAACCAAAATCTTGGAGATTTTAATGGTTTGTTCAAGAACCCTTGAAGTTAAATCAATAGTAAAATTGAAGGATGGATGTAGGTCACGGTGGTTGTGACTGAATCAGGATAAACAAAGTTTGCACTTTCTCTAACCTTTATCTCTTTACATAAGCATTGTTTGCATACTTGTGTATATGTAGATTCATATTTATTGATCTCTACTTGCTTGTCTAAGTTGTCATCGATTATTATATCTTTGTTTATCCTAAATCATAGCATATCAAGAAATTATTTTTACGAAGAAAGTGGGGCATTTTATGAAAAAAATTTAATACTCAATTCACCCCCTCTTGAGTTTTGAGACCACTTGTTCAACAGTTATAATTTACATCACACATTCATAAATTTTTGTTTACTTTATCATTGATCTGTTCGTAGTTCTTATAATGTTGTAGTGATTTAGTGTAATTCTTTTGGAATTTACCTCATCACAAATAGGTATTTCTGTTGAAAAAGACTAGGAAAAATTATACTGAAGTGTTTTTCTTCTTCAAATAATCAAGTTATATCAGACTTAAATATATTATTTTCTCTTTTCACTGTAATTTCAAAATAAAACTATTAAAATTACTTGTTGCTAAGCTAAGTGAATAATGTGTTTTTTGTGTTCATCCCTTGGGTTGATAGTGTGACAACTATAGCAAATATGGTAGTAGAATGGTATGGTGGTCATCAGAGCGATTTAGTGTGTTGTTATTTGTCAATTACCATTATTCTGAATAAGAGTGACAATTTTTAACATGATTCAAACATGACACAGTTTTTTCATGTTCGCGTCAACCCGTATTTGTATTCATGTCGTGTTCGTGTCGACTAAATGTGACTAAAAAAAACGGGTTATGATCATGTTAGGAGCATTTGTGTTGTTTGTATCGGTTCATTTAAATTAAATAATTAAATAATTACATATTTCACCTTTCTCATCTCACTTTTATTTATTAATTTGAGGTTATTTAAGAAATTTTTATTTAAAAAGTGAAATTAATATGTTATTCATATCGAGTTTGTCAACCCGTAGAGTAAACAAGTCTTGTTGCTGTTGAGAGTTTTGGTACAAATAATTATCGTGTGAGTCAAACACAACTTGATAACCTAAATTGTCGCTCGTAATTCTAAATGCCATTATGATGTATCATAAGCTCTAGAGAATACTAGTATTGTCTTGCGCTATTTAATTTTAACTTATATAATAAGTATATTATTTTTTATAGTTGACTTGTGTTTGGTCCTAGAGAACCGTAGGTCTATAACGTATGGTATGCACTCAGAGATATCTTAGAGATAGATATCCTGATTGGCTTATATCCAATACTCCAATCATCGTGAATTATCAATAGGCATATAACCAAGATGTGGTTGTGTGCACAGTGTTGGCAGTAATAGTAAATAGGTTAAAAGTGTCTACCTAGGGTCTTTAGCCTT